TTAAAACCAAAGAAATTTTGTTGGTTTTTTAGTTTTTCAATCATATCTTTTTATAGGTTCACTTTACAACAAAATATTGTTATCAGAAATTGTAGACCATAAAATTTTACACAACTTTGATATACACTACTTTTTTGTGAAATGTTTATTAAAAAACGATATACATATAAATCTCCCTACCCTGCACCCTTACCAAAAGGGATGAATAATAATTCAACTTTCAACCCTTGCTAGTGAGGATATTTGAATCACTGTGAGGTTGTAGCCCTTTGTAATATACGTTTGAAACAACAAAATTATCTCACTTCAGTCCAGCTTCATCCCCCCCCCCCCCCCCCGCGGTAGGAATAGAAGTTTAGAAAATATATGTAGGTAATAAGCGTATTACTCTCTAATACTTAACTTATCAATCGCCACAAGAGCGTTTAAATATCTATGCCTACCTCGGGGGATGGGGGGGGGGGGGGATTGAAGCTGAACTGAAGTGAGACAATTTCTTAATTTCAAACGTGTATTGAAAAATGCTACAATCTCACAGTGATTCAAATATCCTCACTAGCAAGGGCTGCAAGTTTCATTATGCATCCACTTTGGTAAGGGTGCAGGGTAGGGTGATTTATACTGCGACAAATTCAAGATATTTTTTCATAATTAATTATAGAGATAAAGTATAAAATTTGGTTAAAACATCTACATAGAAATTTCAGAATATAACCAACTCTCAAGCTCTATATTTTTTTTAAATAAACATTTAACAAAAAAGTAGTGTATATCAAAGTTGTGTACAATTTTATGGTCTACAATTTCTGATAACAATATTTTTTCCTAAAGTGAACCATTAAAAAGATATGGAAAACTAAGAAACCAACCAAATTTCAGGGGTTTTGGGGGTGGTACGGAGGAAGCACAAGGGGTGGGAGGTCGAAAACTTAGATTCTTAACCACCAGATGACTGTCGATGACATGCAAAAGAAATCGGAACTACTTCTCATTTTGCAAGTTAAAACCCTCTATTCCCGGGACTACTAGTGGTGCCCCCTGGTAACGATCTCAACGCTCCTAACGGAACTCTGTCGAATGACAGTAACGCAAACCAAATCCAAGTCGGGGTGGAACAGCTGACGCCGAGAGGGCTGCATGACCAAGGGAGAACTTGATCAGCGAACTCTGGTTATAGGGCGGCTCCCAGTTGCAAAAGTAGCCTTCTGATGGTAAGGGCAAGCTGCCAGGGACCGTTTAAAAGCCCAATCCTCGTGGGAGCGTCGTATAGGACTTAATACAAAAACCGCTCAATCTGTAACGGTAACGGAGGAGTCGCTACCTCCAACCACTGACCAAGGGTTGTCCGACATCTGTCGAAATCACTAGCCTAGATAGTGTTACCATAACTCTCCTGAGGGCTCCTAATTCTCGGCTAACAAAACCTCAGGAGCGACAAGTGAACTAAATAATGCTGTGGGGGGCCACTCCACAAGTAAATCTTTGTGGAGCCGCTCGTAAGCTCTTCAAAAAACTAATGGCCGCTGGGTATAATCCAAACGAAGCCGAAAAATCAAACAGTACACTCAGGAGGGTATGGAAGCTCAAAGCTAGAAGAGCAGGGAAAGGGGTAGGGGAGTTCTGTTCTCATATGGGAGGGCAATAGCCTCAAAAAACCCAGTTCCATCACCTCAACTTCTCAAGCCAAGGAGGAAGGCGGAGGTGCTTCCACGCCCCCACCCAAAAAAAACCTTCCGAAGTGGGCAGTACAACCACCACAACAGCACCAGCAGCTGCTACAGGAACTACTGCTAAGGCAACCTGCGGTCAGTGCTGGTTCTAGCATCAGCAACTCGCCCGGGCCGATTTCAAACTGGGAGGAGTTTGCAAGTATGGAGTCTGATTCTAGCAACGCCGGATAAACCATAGGCGTTAGGCAGGACATTGCCCTGGGTTGTTAAATGTTAAACCCAGGGTTTTTGGTCTTGGGGGCACGATCTCCGAACACCATAGCATAGTGCAAAAATATACACTGTGAAAATTTTGTCTGGAACACTAATGTATCTTCAAAACAACATTTTTTTAAAGCTTTTTATGGTATTCAACATTGTAAGAAGTTTGCTACGAATCTATAAGCGCTTTATAAATTTGTGATCAGTGATGGTGTACTACTGCATTGCCAAGGAGGCATATTTTGTTGTAATGGCAACTGCTATAGTTTTCATTATATATTCTTAAATAGTACACTTTTTTTGAATTAATAAAATTTAAGAGAAAAACTCAAATTAAGGAAAATAGTTCTGTTAATTAATTTTGCAATTTGTAATATTTTTTCGTTCATTTTTCATAATGCTTTCCATTAAAAAAAAGTAACCCTCTTAGTTCTTTGGACGTACGCCACTGTAAATAATTTATAAACATGTAGAAATTCTAGAATTCTTCGAACTTCCAACCAATTAAGTTTCTACATCGCCTGTAGATGTCTCTCGTCTAGACGAATTTGGAAATATCTTAACAAGCTTTGTTTTCGTTCTGATGTTCCATTTGCCCTTTATGAGTACCCTCTTCCGACACTTCATTTATTCGCCTCGACTTCACCAAGTTTCGTCCAGACGATTCATTTTGCCTTTGAGAGCACCGACAAACCGTTCTCGCGCTCTTCTTCACCAATGGATATAATTCATCCAGACGTCCGAATGCCTCTTCCGACAATCTAATCTTGAGATATAAGAAATTATTTATATCCGACCCAGATAAGGGGAGATAAGGACTGTGGTTGGTAGAAATTAATTCGTTTCGTTGAGTCCTTTTATTAGAAACCATGAAGAGTAGCACTTATGTTCACCCCCCCCCCCCACATTTGGCACCACAAAAGATATGCACATGCAAAATCTGAGACTAATTGATTGTCACATGTAAAAGTAATTCATGTTTTACTTTCAGCATCTCCGGAAATATATCATAAGCCCCCCCCCCCCCTCTTCTCTTGAAAACTACTATGACAATTGTCATCAAATCTCCCTTTGCTGAAGGGCGTTCCACACCCCGCACATATACCCTCCTGTGGTACATTCTCCCCCAAAATGGTCATCCCTTAGAACCCTTTGTGTATGGAAAATCCCCCAGAAACGAAAATTTGTTGATAGTCCCTATAAAATAATTATATTATAACCATACTAATTGTCATTTTTAGGGAGGGCGTCGCACCGGGAGGTCTGGAATATCCCCCGGCACACAGAAGGAATCAATGCGAGAGAAGAATTCGAACGAAAGGTCCATATTGCAACCCAGCTACCCACAGACGAGAGGATGGTTCCTACAGGAATAACCTCTCAGAGACAGCCGAGGTACTGAGAGACGCCCACTTTCCTGGAGCCACCACAGATCTATACCCCAACTGGCCAGAGGTAACTTCCTTCATTTCCATGGAGAATGACTGAGCGGTTTACAGTCAGATGGTGGAAAAATTGTCTTTATCTCCAAACCTGGCAAAGGTAATTACTCTACACGTAAAGCTAGATATCGCTGACTATTCGATAGATACATAAGGGATACACTGCCGTGATAAGACCAATGCTCTGTTATGGAGCCTATCCTCGAAGGGCAATCGGACTTACTCATTTCTCAATTCATATTACGGAAAAACTAACATCTTTCTTAATGAGAATAGGGTATCCCAACCAGACATATCCATGTTCACGGATGGATCTAAAACAATGGAAGGAACAGACTCTGGTATTTACTCCAAAGAACTGTCGAACCTCCATCTCACCCAACTACTAGGCAAACTTTCAAAACTAACGTTTAGTTCAAGAAAAGTTCTTATGCATAACATAAAGACCAAAAACTCGAAAACTACCATGACAGTTGTCTTAAAATCCCTTTGCTGGGGGGTATAACCCCCTAGACCCTCCGGTACTACGTACATTCTCCCCCAAAATATTCAGTCCTTAGAACTCTTGTGTATGGAAGATCTCCTAGTAACCAAAATTGGATGAACTCTCTACAAGATAATTATTTATTTATTTATTTAATTTTTATTTGAAATATTTTTTGTTAAGTTTATCAGTAATTTTGATTTATAGTCACACTTCGTCTTGTTATTACATTTTGCTATAGATATTATGTTTTGTATTTCTTTGTAAAAATGGTATTTCCGTTAAATAAATAAATAAATAAATAAATAATTATAACTACTAATTGTCATTTTGGGGGGGAGTGTGAAATAACCCCCAGCAGATGATTGTTGTCATAGTCTTCCATTGCTGGGTATTCCTTAGGGGTGAACGTTTTTAGAGAGGATAGAGGATGTAACACCCGAGAATCTAGGGGGTATAGAATCTTATGATAGATGTAGGAAAAGGAATACTGAATCTTTCTTTTCCGGGGGAGGGGGGGGGATTCCATATCTCCCAAGCTTTTACATTCTCTCCCAAAATGTTTGGTGCTTTTAGCACATATACCATTAGGAAAGGACCATCGAAAGTACTTAGGGCTGACCATTTTTTAATTACCGGGCGTATCGAACGTTTGTAAGAGATAACACGAAACAGGGGTCTCTGGGGGGTGTTCAATTCCCTCCGTGCTTACATAAAAACATACTCTCAGACCTCCCTGTTCTTCCCTCTTTCCCAAAATATTTAGTGGGACCGACCAAGTATCTGAAGTTGGACAACTTATCCACCCTTTAAAGAATAGGGGAAAGTTCCAAATTTCACGAATTAGGGCGACTTTTGTTTGTTTGGGTCGTATTTTGGTTCCATGACAGTGTTTTGTTTACGTTTTGGGTTAAACGTCGCCCACGTATCATGGACGTATACCGATAAATGGGAAGCTGAGAAGTTATTTTCGCCATTTTTGCGCATATTGAGAATAGCAACAATTTCTGGGAAGCACAAATTAGTAAACAAAAAGCAGAATGCAATTTTGGTTGTACGATTTTTTCAAATGGACGAATCGTAGCGGGTCTTGCAGTTGTGACGTCACGATCACTATCTTCGTCACGTGACCAAGATGTCGTTACTGCCGTTCCAAGCGTGCTGTATTTTTACCGTTTTCTACTAATTTGCGAAGTGCTATATTAAAATAAACTTTAAAAAAGTCAAATAAAAGACGGTGACAATTGCGGCGCATAATTCGTTTCGGTCCATCACACGTAAATCGGTGTTTAAAACGAAATCTTAATCTACGAAAAATTATGGCCTCCCTACTCCTTTTTCTTCGAATTTAAACCGGCGTTTGCGTGTAGGATCTAGGGACGCTACCAGTAAATTTTGATTTTGTTGTTAAATTCAACCGTTAAACTAACAAAAACCGACGGGGAAGTGTTCGCAAATTGGTCTTTTGGGTGTCGTGCCAAATTTTATCCTAAGAACAAGAAGATGGCGTCCTATTTTAAATTTACTTTTTTTCGTTTAAAACTTAACGTTTTGTGAATCTTTTTCGCTTTTGAAATCAAGACGCCTAAGATTTCATGGATATGTTGATTTGAGGTAAGTTTTTAGACCTTTAAAAGTTTCGTGGTAACGGTTACGATAAAGCTTACATTCGCCAGACTAAGCGATTTGAGGCGCTACCTAAAGACGGGAATACTCTAACACCACTGTGAGTCGACGTACGGTGGTATTTGCACCTCGACAGTGTTATCACACGAGAAACCTTGCTAGAGTAGGTATTTCCGTCTTTCGGGTAGCACTCATGAAGCGCTTCGTCTGCTGAACGTAAGCACTGCTTGCGCTAGCCTTAAGATATGACATGCCTTAGTATCGACGATTTATTATAAAACAACCTGCTTCGGTATATTTAGTTTCCGATTCATTTGTCAGGGACGATCGGGCTCCGTCATTTTGCTACCCTTCACTTTAATCCGATGAATTAGGTTATGTCACGTGCGTTCAAGTTGACGTTTAATACAGCGAAATGATCGCAGACTTGTAGAACATTCGTGCTACGATTGTGACAATTTCATTGAAATCCTGGTACTCGCGGTCAAGGACTGTTATAGTTCTGTGTTATTTCGTTAAAACTTCTTTCTGTGAGCTAGACCTACGTTTTTTAGCTTTACGAACAGTTCCACTACGTCTAGTTTGAAGGAACCTTTACCCACGGCAGCACTACCTACACAATCCAATTTCAAATCGTCAATTTCAAATTAAAACGAATCATCAATTTTACCACTTCCATTTGGCTTGCCCTCAGGTAACGGGAACCAATCTCTACTGTAAATATCCTTGTTCACATCTCTTCACCGACACCTGCCACATTTACGAATGATGGTTGGTCGAGTCATAAGCAAACGAAGTAAAAAGACATTCTCGTCATAAACATTTCAAGAATGAGACGGGACGGGATTACCAAGATTCGCATTCCAATTTTTTCTTTAATTGCGACACTTCTTCCACAATCTCTCCTCATTTCCTTATCACTGCATCAATCATTAACAGAACAGGTGATTTTTCCAAAATAAACTCATGAGAGTTATAGTATAAGTAATGAATTGTATGATAGACGTTATTTGCAATTTTACATAGGCGTATCTGTTGAATCTAATTTTTGTGTCATGGTCTTTCTACGCCCCTGGATTCATTTCGATATTGAGAAATGCGGAACACAAACATATATTGCATAATTAGGTGCTAATTAAGTGCCCTATACCCGAATTAAATGCTCAATGCTAAAGAGCACATTATTTGAAAACAGGCCACTTAATTAGCACCTAATCACTAATCAGCACCTAATTATAGTTAGTTCACTTTTCATTTTCTTGGTTTTCCGAGTTAATGCTCTGCTGAGTTCATATGAACCTGGCAGTACATGTCATAATTTTAAAAAAAGAAGCATTTAATTCGGTAATATGTTTTGTAATTGGTAAACTTATAATAATTAGACCTTCTTTCATCAACTTTATTCATGGTATATCTTTTACACCTGTCACTTCTCTTACATTAACTTATGGTAGGCGATTACACATGATTGCAACATGGTATGGTTGCAATACCAAACACATATGAACAGAGCACAACCTTAAAAACCCAAGAAAATGAAAAGTGAACTAACTATAATTATGTGCTAATTAGGTGCTAATTACGTGCCCTATCCCCGAATTAAATGCTCCATTTTTTTAAATTTATACATGTTCTGCTAGGTTCATAATTTATAAAAAAAGGAGCATTTAATTAGGGGATCGGGTACTTAATTAGCACCTAATTATATTATAGATAGTCCACTTTTCATTTTCTTGGGTTTTTAAGGTAGTGCTCTGCTGAGGTCGGAGCAGGGTTCGTATGAACCTGGCAGAACATGTAATAATTAAAAAAAAGGAGCATTTAATTCGGGAATAGGGCACTTAATTAGCATCTAATTATGCAACATGTTTGATTGTGTTCTGCTGACCTTGCTCTGCTAGGTTCATGGGCATTGAAAAACCACAGATTTTTCTAGTAAAGGCAAACATATTGCATGTCCAGAAAATATCAATTAATTGATTAATTATTGAAACATTTTAATTTAACCAAGCGATTGATTTTATTTGATTATATTTTATTTTTCAGTTTTTGGCGAACGAGTAGTGCGCGGTTTGTGTGCAGTGTTTCATCTCTACTTTGGTTGATGGTTCTTCCCAGGAGAGACTGAATTATTGAGGCTAAAGGGTAAGTGTCCATCCCTTTTTATTGCAAGTGTTTATTGCTCAATTTCTTTAAGAAAACGGTCAAACAAACAAATGCTTGACCCAGTCAAAATTTACAATTGTCAATTGTTTTAAACTATACCTATTTTAATATCATTTCTAACGTAAATCTTCTCGTTGTTACAGATTGCAGAAAGGCGGCCTCATAAGGTATAGGATTTTTCCTTTTCTGCATGGGTGTATTAGCATGTCATTTTTTGTACGGGGGGGAAAAGTGAATAGTGAATATCAACCAGAAGGAAGACCGATCATTGTTCTGAGCATGAGTTTCGTGTAATAGCCCTATGAAAGTTGAAAACAGTCTTCCCTGTCTGTCATCCTGGTGACGAAAGATTGACTGCAATGATTCTTATGATAGTCTTTTTCGCATCAGCGTCCATCAGTTTCCTTCATATTGCTGAGTGTGACTAAGTTCACGGTCAGACCAACTTTGTGAAGCAAACAGATTTTCTCTGCGAATAAGCCTAAAGAATCATTGGAGCCGTTTTTTCCGTTCCCAAGCTGAGCGACTTTGAGGATTGTTAAACTTTCATTTATTATTGCACGAAGTTCAGCTTAGAGGAAGGTAAGTGCGTGGTCATAATATATTAATGAATTATTTCATCAACCAAAACACTCTTTGTGTGGTTACCTACTTACTAAACTCATCAATTGTTACAGAGCCATCGACGTCGCTCAACCTGCTGGTGAGGATTACGCCGACCGCCAGTGCTGGATTAAGGATTTCTGAGGCAGGGGGTTACCTCCGGGCTACGAAAGCCACTCTCCGCCCCACCCCTTATCAAAAATGTCAGTGCCATCGTTTATCTTTTAAGACTGTCATCAAACAATAATTGAAAAAGAAACTAAATTTTTTGGTCCTTTAGTTGATTATTGAGATTATTGTTTTTAGCATCCAATTATTTTGACACACTTGCTTGCCACACTCTGTGGTATTTTTTAATGCTCAATAAAAAGTTACAGATATTTTTCAAACTCCAAATTTTCAAAATACCTACTCAGATTTACGAGGAATAGTAAAAAATTCCAATTTCATGTAATACCTAACATTCGTTTTACTTGGAGTCCCCCGGGTTTCCAGGGCTGTAGCCTCGTTGTCTCCTTAATCCAGCACTGCCGACGACCTCTGCGATGGATCAGCTCGAATTCATGCCTGCTTGTGACACAGTTGAACGATTATATGGACATGGTCACGCAAACGAGGTGAGTACGTCATTGTCCTTAACAAAATTCCCTAAAACAATTTTTTTACAAACGTAACGTAAAGAAAAAAAAAGATTAATAACAGACTTATCATAAGGATTAGTATATCAACATAATGATCTTTTTATTAAAACCTAATATCAAATGTAATGCAAAACGTACTTTGCCTTTTGCTCTTTTTTTTAAAAAAGGCCCCCCCCCCCCCTTATACATATATGTTTTGGCATTTTTTAACTTAAATTTTTCTTGTTGCAGATTCTAGAAGGGCTGCAGTCAGTGGCAGGTTAAGGATTTCCGAGACAGGGGGCTATCTACGAATGCCCCCCCCTTCCCCTCAAGCTTTTAACTGACAAATTCGTATGATACATCCAGTGGCGGATTTAAATTTTTTGCGCCCCTAGGCACACCGAAAGATATGCGCCCCAAAATAAACTTTAAATTGCAATAAATTTTAGGATGCTAATTATAAAAATCAAATTATAACTTGAAATTTTTTAAACTAATATGAAAAGAAATACAGTATACCTAAAATTAAGTATTCACACACGTCAAAACTTGGATTGTCGATTATTGTTCTTACAGTTACAGTTTGTTTAAACTATCTACCAATTCCAATTTATTTCATAATTTTAATCGAAGATTTTTGTCATTTGTAACTTGTTAGGGGACTTATTTTAAAACTTAAAATGTTATCTAAAATGAAATATACTACAGTGCAAAAAATGCCGCCCTCTAAAGCTGCAGTCCCTATAGGCACGTGCCTAGTGTGCCTATATGTAAATCCGCCACTGGATACATCAAACGATGATACCTACAAACAAATAAAAAAAATCAAATTTGTCTGCCTTTTATCTTTCCTATGATGCATATAGCAATTAATCAATCATGAAGGGCCGTAACAAAAATTTCAGTTGCATCTTTTTACCATTTAAGACTGTCATCAAACAATCGAACAGGAAACTAAATTTTTTGGTTTTTTAGTTGGTTTACAAGAGATTAGGGTTGTACCATTCAATTTGATATACTTACTCGCTTGCCACCCTCTGAGGTATTTTCGAATGGGCAGATATTTCCAAGCTCCAAATTTCTTCTGACTTGTAGGAATAGTAAAAAATTTCCCATTTGCTCTATCCCTAAATCTAAGTAGAGTGATGCCGGTTTTCCAGTAATTTTCAATTTCAGTCTCAGATCGGATAAAAACTCATTTGTGACTTTCTCATAACGTGGCAGAAATCAGCGTTCTTCTGCCTAAAATCCATTTCACGAAGGATCTTTTCAAATCGGGAGATTCAGCACCTTGGTGCTTATGTTTCAAACCATACGAGCTTCGGTTTAATTGACAGACCTTCGAAGATCCATCGCTGAAGCCATTCGGCTGCTCTCTCTATCAACTTTCCATTTAGGAACGCTGTAAAAATGTCGAACTGTGTCAAGTGTCACTTTTCCTTAGCACTTATGGTCTAATTGTAGTCATTCTGGGTACGGGACTGAAAGTTTGTTCATAATCAATTCCTCTTCGTTGCCTTATTTTACTAGGAGTCGTGCTTTATACTTTTTAATTGCCCCTTAGATCAGGATTCTGTAAACCCACTTGAAAGGTAGAAGTCCGTACAACGTCTACACGCCTTTTTCTTTAAGTGACTTTAATTCACGATTCATCGTTGCACTTTGCCAGTTCTTGTGATTTTCTCTCTTCATTGCTTCCTGGAACGTACCTATTTGGGAAGGCTGAGCTTACAAGGCAAACATACCTGTTATTCTTCTTGAGGCACGTAATCACTTCTCTGCCTCGAGTCTTCAACACGTGAACGTCGACTCGTTTCTCAGGCACTTCGACAACAGGTGAATCCACTTCATGATCGTTATCTTCATTTTCAACAAGTGTAGGATGTTCATCAGGAGCTGGCTGAAACCCTTCTTCTCCCTCTACAGCTTGATTAGGAACACTGTGCTCTGAGTGTACATTCGGGCTGATTTACAATTGGATTCGCTCCTACCTTTTTTCATTCATTCATTGATTTGGCATCCTCGTTGAAATGTTAAATTCAACATCTGTCTCCGATATCCATCGTCATTTTTATATCCAACCAGCTTGCCCCATTACAGCTTTTCTACGCTTTTGATTTGGAATGTGAGCGTAGCATTCACTTTCAATTATTCGCAGGTGTTAGATCTTGGACCATTGTTCTCAGTTTTACAGGTGCAATTTAGGGCATTCGCGGCTGTATTTAAATTCTTAAAAATTCCTATTCTTCTCATTTATGATTTTTCACAATATCCGTACCTTTTCCTTTAGTAGGAACTGTCGTGCCATCTACTGTCTTAACCTTGTGATTTGAATCAAATTCATGAAACACGTTACTTGTGATACCAATTGTCGACGTACCAATTTTCCTTGGTCTTTTTAGACTCATTAGAGCAAAACATTTACCATTAACGTAATATTCTGAACTTGTTTCCGATCTTAGAGCCATAGTAGCACTCTCTCTTTTTCTTTGCTTTTGGCATAACTTCTTTTTTGTGACTAGGAACTCTTGATTTGCACTCGTCCTCCAGTGCATCTAGGATTTTGCAGATTAGGAACAGATCTATATGCAATTCCTGCCAGACTTCACACGCTGTCTCAGATCTCATTACCCTTTTTAATGTCTCTTCTGTCATGTTCCTTGTGAAAATGAGCAGAGCGCTACTTTCAGACTTCTTGTACTTGGCTAATTGCAAAGTATAATCACCAATGGTTTTATCTTCAATTGGCTTCTTCAGCTTACCTTCGACGTCCTCCATGGCACCTTCCGTATCACGTAGCTTGTATTTACAAGTTTCCGATTTGAAGTTTTGTGGAAAATCCTTCCATCTTGAACCTGTTACGTACCTTACGACTTCTCCAGTCATGGGCCTAATAATTTAATATCCAGGGTTGTAGCCCCCATAGTCTCCCCCTTAATCCAACGCCGCCGACGACCTCTGCGATGGATCAGATCGAATTCAAGCCTGCCTTCGACCCAGTTCAACGATTATAATGGACTTGGTTCACGCAAACGAGGTGAGCACATCACTGACCATAACAGAAACACAAAACTTTACGTAATTTTTTTTCAGTTATTGGTAATGGCGTTCGAGGAGAATGCACACCAGTAGCCCGTGGTGATCGTGAACTCATGGTGATGGTGCTTCTTCCTAAGCAAAAGTGGATTAATAAAAGGCTAAAGGTAAATGTTCACATCTTCATTAAGACGTAATAGCAAATGTAACGCAAAAGTGCCTCACCTCTAGGGTGTCTCTTTCAATAAAGAACCCCCACCCCCAACATTACCTTTTTTGATTAATTTCAGATCAATATTTCTATTATTTTGTTTTAACTTATTTTTCTTCTTGTTTCAGATTTTCGATGAGCAGCCTTATAAAGGTAGGATTTTTCTTTTCTATGCATGGTTGCATTATTTTGCAACAGTGGGGGAAAGTGAAGTGTATAGTGCGACTAAAAGTGATCTTTAATGACTTGTGGAAATCGGCTCAGTTTTTCAACTGGGTTGATTCTTCCTAAGGTCTCTCTCTCGGCATCAATCAGTTTGCTTTGTCTCGATCGGCATGACTATGACTTCATAGCCATACCGATTTTACGAAGCGAAGTGATTTTTCTGCGAATCTCACTGTGATAAAAGAATGAGGTCAATTCTTTTATTTCCAAGATGAGATCGATGGCTTTTAAGGTTTTTAAGTTTCTATCACTAATGATGAATAAACGAATACGCTTTATAGCATCTTTCAGGAGCAATCTCCTAGTAATCTTCTCATTGTTCTTAGAACTACTGGCCGGCTTACTGTAAGACATGGCACGCGAACTGCATCTCTACTGGTTAGGATATCCATTCCTACTTGATCATGTTTAAACAAAGTTAAGTACACCACTAGTCTCGATCTACGTGAAAATTTTGTCTGGAGCACCAAATGTGCACTGACCACAAATTTAAAGTACGTAAATTGGTAACTTTTTACATTTTTGGAATCCATAAAATTTGTTTTGAAGATTATTCAGTGCTCCAGAAAAAATGTTCACCCTGCTCCATCTATTAACAGCATCTGTAGAGATAGCTCGACCTTTCTCAGACTTGCAGTAAAGCATTAATTTGGTCCCATAGTGTTCATTCTCCCTCTTGTCTTCTCAAAAGGATTCAATGCAGGAAACTT